AAACAATCGTCTGTGCTATAATCATCTTCCTCCGCCGCAAACAAGAACAACGGTATCCCCCTGACAACCCCTATAAGCCCCAGGAAGGAGAGATACCCGTAGACCTCCTAGGAATAGCTCAGGATGAGAGTGCCTGAGCTCCTTTCAAGCGTTACAAAAGGATTCTGTCCAACTCCTAGATCAACCCCGAATTGCTCAGTACATGTGGGACTGGTCCGTGTGACTTGTCCACCGCATCGGCCATGGCGCAATTCTGGCCGGACTTCGCACATGCCCCAGACAGCTTACAGGGGCATGCTCGGGATGTGGGGCTGTATCTCTGGCTCACCGTGAAATTTGAAGACAGGACCAGGATAGGGGCCTCTTAGAAGCTCCTTTGCTTTTGAGCCCTCGACGCCCATTTTGAGATTTGGAGTGAGGCTGCGCAGATGATGGGCATGGCAGGCCTCCCTGGATCGGGCTTGATTGCATTTGGGGCATTCGCGTTATGTCATTTGTTTCAGCTTTGAGGGATTCAGTAGGCGGGCTTCCGCGCTGTTGGGATTGAGGCTCTAGTGCTTGGTGGTTTGGGGCCGCAGGATCGTCGCGTTGTCTGTCCTGCTACTTACTGCTTGTTGTGGTTGTTTTGAGTTCAGACTTCTGACCAGAATATCAATTTGGTAGTGGGTGCCGAAACAATACAGTCGTAATAAATCAGCATCAATAGCCGTAGTATTTGCATGATTGGCCGTTGGTACATTAGCCATGAGACATTGAGTTACCCTGAACCCTGAGGCGAAGCCTGCCCATGCAAAGTCTTACTTGTTCAGATGTGTTGAACGCTGCGGAAAGCAAATCGGGATCTAATCATTCAGCGAGCAAGGATTCGATCACACACCCAGCGAGGATTCGAGCAACTATGCTATACTCCTTGAACCCTAAATCCTAAACCATAACGGAAGAAGCCACACCCTTCCACATGTATCTCCTACGATTGCTAAAAGGAGCCTGCGGCTGTCCGCGACCGCCTGACGGATCCTCAGCATGGCAGCAAAGATGCGAGCAGGGTTCTGTGTAGATACACCTATGCTGTATGTGCACACATATATATACACATGAACTGAACATAAAAATCAGAATAAGAACCGAAGCACTTTTCGTGAACAGTAATGGAAGTAGATGCAGAAAGAAAGATGGATAGGAGTTTCCAGAGATGAGGAGTCCTTGTCTGAAGGAGTCCCTGAAAGCAATTACGCGCCGCAGTGCGAAGGATAGCAGAGTCAGTTTGCCACCCTGTTAAAAGAGAAACCACTTGCTTTTCCTCTATCCATATGCAAGAGGCATACTTACATAGAAAGCTTTCATTCTGATGCTTGTGGTCATTTTGTTGATTGTTGAGGTAGTATCATACTGAAATTCGAATCAGCTTGCTTGCCAAGTCATAGTGACAGAAGATGTTGAACTCACAAGACGTTTCGTGCAAGCAGGGCCGCGAACGTTGTTCTGTTGGTCAGGCACCTTTCTAAAACTGTTGCTCTGGGGGATATGTTGGGATAGTGGAAGATCATGGAAAATAAGATGGAAACGACTATAATGGGTTATATAGGGACCCATGGCCATCCCAACGCTTCCGTGAACTACCAGGTGAGTAGTATTTTATTTGGGGATACCATGGTACCCAATCATAGAGTAAGATTATATCCTCCTTTTGGGGTATAGTATTTTATATAAGGAATATAATCTTACTGGGTTTAACCACCAAAAAAAACACTACTCAGGTGGAGTCGGGGCGGGAGGGAGGTCATCAGTCTCACATAGAAGTGTTCAGGTGCAGTTTGTGCCAGTGGCGGCGCAGGCCCCGAGAGTGACGTGAGGATCCCCTGCCATGAATTTGTAGCTTCCCAATGTATTGTGAGCACATGTCAGAAGTATCTTCATGAAGTTGTAAAGTTGCAGCTAGACTCTAGTAACTATCGCTTCTTCATTCATTCTCCACCCCAGGGAGATGGGCAGCCCAAAGCCAGAAGGTCCCGAGCATTTTTCTATCCTGAGTTTTCCACATTCTCAACGATCTCAACAATCATGCATCTCCACGCACCTGTGCAGATGAATGGCCCCCAAAAGCCTGAGCTGCAACCGCCAAGCGCTCAGAGCCCTGGCAAGATGGAGGTCTGTTACAAAGCTTCTATTGGGATAATGGAAAAGAGCATGGAGACTACTATGTCAATATATTGGGGTTATATAGGCATAATGGAAAATAAATTGGAAACTACTATAGTATATTGGGGTTATAGGGGCTCTTAGGTCTACCTTACTGTATACATGGGTCGCGATTGAGGGTCCTGCAAAAAACTTGCGCATCCCATCTTTGATTGTCTTACCGGGCTAAATGTTGGGAGGCTTCGTCAGGACTGGCTTACAGCCTCTATGATCTTTTAAATTCAGGGGTCCTCCAGTGTGGAGAAATGTCCTCAACAGCCTTTATGGTCCATGGCTATGACCTTTCTCGCATGTAGGCCGGTGACGGCCGCCCAGCCGTCTACGATGCCCCATGGACAGCTGCCGCCTGAGGAAATCATAGGCCTGCCCCTGATAATTATGTCGCAGTCTTAGGCATTATACTTAGTTTCAAGGGGCGAATATGTCTGCAATCGTTTTTTAATGAGCGCAAAGTCGGAGAACCTACCGATTTAGAGCATAAAGTCGGCGCTGCCCCCCCCTGTCAGGGAGGATGGGTTGCGAGGTTTGTTGCACTGCCGTAAGGATCCATGTGCCGGATTCCGTTTAAAAGGACCAAAGGGTTGTTTTTTCCACTTAAGTTCTTTCTACGCCTTTCCTGAGACAGAGCCGAGGCAGCCACAGTTTCCGACTTTGGCACCCCAGACTGTGCCAGCACCACAGCATGAGCAGGTGCCCCAAGCACCCCCGCAGCAAAGCTCTGTAACCCAAGTCGCTCAAGCACCACCAGCACAAGTTCAAGGCGTGCAGCCTCAGACAGCCCCCGCGCCGGCCCAGTTCAACCCATACCAGGCACCGATGCCAAAGGCACAGATTCAGCCACCTGTGCGGCCTCAGCCTCAGCAGGCACCTTCGCAGCTGCCGCCGCAACCTCTGCAACAACCCCCACAGCAACCACAGGTCCAACAGCAACAACCCCAGCAGTTCGATCAGCTTCAGCCCACATTTCAGGCACCACAGATGCCACAAGCACTGCAAGCACCAATCCCCCAGCCTTCCCCAGTCGCGCCCCGCGTGCAGATGCCGCCACAGCCACAGCAGCAGCCACAACAGCAGCCGCAGCAGCAGCCGCAGCCGCAGCAACCGCAGCCCGTTCAGGATGCGCCGGGCTCTCAACAAACGCACGCCCCAAGAAAACATATCATCCCAAACGTGTCCTAATCATTGTTAAAGAGCCCGACAAGGAACGCCAAGTAAGTTGAGCGTGTGGAGCCTGCTTTGAAGAACAAAAGCCGGAGTGATATGATGCCATCAGCACCGTAACCACAATGTTATTCCACCATCGTCATCAGTCATCATGTTTAATGTGTAGAGGTAGTTGCTCTCGAATCAATATGAGTATTCCTGAGAAAAATGGTGCTGTACTGAATCTATGCAAAAGGAACTTCAGTAAAGTAGGAGGTCTCTTGGTGATCATGCTGCCTTTGCCTGAAGTTGTTACGCCTCCTACTATTATGCCTCCCATTCCTGCCACAAGGAAGTGCGAGTAGCGTGATTTCTGCTCTTCTCACGTGGCTCTTTATCTAGAATGGGGGCTGAACGAATATCAGATGCTGAGTAACTCTGGAGGCACCTATACTACGACGATCGCGTACTGTTGCCAAGGCTCCCGCTGCCGTCACCAGCAGAAGCACAAAGCCAAATCGACCAGCTGCAGAAGCAGCTACAGCAGCCCCCAGCCCAGCATCCTTAGTTCGGAAAGCAGTAATTAGGAATGGCAGAGATGTACACGCTTAGTCCTAGGGACTGACAGCGGGGGTAGCAAGAATATGCAAGAATAATTGTCCGTACCCCTGTACTATCATATGGGTGGGGTGTCAGAGACAGGTCGGTTTACATTGAGCAGGACAACGCAGTCGCCCCCTCTCCCCCACACATTGCTGACACTGCTACCCCTGAGAACAGAACGGCGCTGCTCCTTTGACTGTCCAGGGCAAAACCTCTAAGCTAGAAGCCTCAAGCCTGTGTTTACAGAATGTAGCGGTAAAGAGAGCAACTATTCAAGTTTGCCCTGTCGCAAGCGTGTCTGAGGCTGCAGCAGCAACAGCAGCCAGGTTCCTAGAATGACCAAAGGAATCCCGGAGAATGATCGCAGTAAGGATTTACAACAAGTACAAGGATTGTGAGGAGGTGGGTTCTGGCAGCTGAGGTTGATCATGCAGCGGCAGATGCAAGGACTACAAGCGTGGCAGCCTGAACACAAAACAAGCCGGTACGAGAGCGGAGGAGCTTAGTGTAGCGGTTGAAGAGGCTTGCAAGTCCGCCAATGAACGCTTCCGCGTGGCTTGGCATGGATGTTAAGTTCCAGCCTTGGTAAACACAAGCAAATGCGGCTTTCATTCTTCGACCAGGCCCGAGAGCACCGTGAACACCGGAACGAGCATGGTGCAGTCCTTGGAGTTTTATGGCAGAGCAGAGCACCACGACGCAGCCCTCTGCAGCTAAGGGTGCCACTGCAGCGTCGGAAGCCCAGAGACTGTTGTAGCCACTCTGTCTTAGAGTCCCTGCTGACTTTGAGGCCGCAAGTGCCAGCTTCGGCTGCACCCGTGCAGGCGCCACCTCAAGCACAGCCACAGCCTTTACAGCCAACGCTGCAGCAGCCAGCGCTGCAGCCAGCACAGCAGCCAGCACAGCAGCAGCCAGCGCCACAGTCAGCACCGCAGCCGGCGGTGCAGACGGCTCCGCTTGCTCCACTTGCTCCGCAGCCCGTGGTCTGCTTCCAGGCAGATCTGACAGGCTGTGGCAGGAAGCCGAGTGCAGCTTGGTCATGGTTTCTGAGGTGGATGACTTGGTGGAGGCCTCCGCCTCAGTTCGACCTCCATGTTGCATTTCCTTCTGTTTGTTGCGTGTTGTTGCGTGGTGAGGCTCAGTGTGCTGGTTGGGGAGACGACTGGTTCCCGGCAAAGGCGACGACTGGATGGAGCTTTCTTATTGCGTCGTGAGTATGGTGGCCTTGCTTTTCAGGTTCGCGAGCTGTTGCCCAACAACGAGGTTCAGGTGCCGGCGCTGGCTGAAGGTGTTGTAAGAGGGAGCCCGGTTGGGATGCTTGGTGCTGCCACTGCTTTAGCGCGCGAGCAGGTAGTGAATGACTGTTTGCATCTCTCGGCAGGTCTTGTGGGAGGGCGACGAGCCTTCGATCTCAAACGTAGCCATGAACATGGTCCGACACAGACGGAAAGGCTGGTCCTCTGCAAGCCTGCAGCCCATAGCAGGGCATCAACACCTGTTGCGACTGTAGTCGACTGTACAGGCGATGTGGCAACGCCGACCGTTCCAGAGACCGCTGCACCCGCCCCGCAGCCCGTGCCGCCCGCGCCGCCTGTGCAGTCGGTGCAGCCTCCACAACCACCGCAGCCCGTGCAACCGATGCAGTCGCCAGCTCGGTCTGAAGCCCGCAGCTTTTCAAATCTATGATGGGGAAGCCGACTGAGGCCCAGCGAGCCGTCTCGGAAGAGGCCCGCAGAGGCCAGGCCTCGGTGCTTAACTCTATGAGCCACCCGTGCCAGCGGTAGCGAAGCCCTGCTTAAAGGCTCCACTTCCACAGGCCTTGCCGGTGCACTACTCAGGCATTTGCCAGCTTCATCTAACATGTCTGGCACCTCGCAGTCTGACAGCGCAGATGAAACAGAGATGATTGCATCCGCCTGTGGCCCAGAAGCCTTTTTGTGCAGCTAAACGAGACGCTGCATTAGGTCCCTAGATCCCCTTAGAAAAAAAGCTGAAAAAGCAGAGAGCCATGGCGGACGACGCAGGCAAGATCTTCGTGGGTGGCCTCCCCAAGAGCTGTTCGCAGGATGCCTTGCAGGCTTGGGCTATGCAGCACGGTGCAGTGACCAACGTCGAGGTGAAGGTCGACCCCATGGGAGTTTCTAGAGGCTTCGGTTTTGTGACCTTCGCAGATCCTCAGGTAGCACAGAGCATTGTTGCCAACAAGGACAACAACTCAATGGATGGAAAGTGGATAGATTGCAAGCTGGCCATGCCCCCTGGCTCAGCTCCTGCAGCGGGAGGCATGATGGGAGGCAAAGGCGCCAAGGGTGCCGTCGACCCAAACAATCCCAAGATCTTCGTGGGCGCGCTGCCAAAGTCCGCCACAGATGAATCAGTTATGGCCTACTTCGGTCAGTTCGGAGTCGTCAAGGAGGTGACCGTGAAGATGGCAGAGGATGGTCAGTGCAAGGGCTTCGCCTTCGTCACCTTCGAGGATGTGAACTCCGCCAAGCTAGTCCTGGACAACTACAACTCGAACACCTTCGAGGGCAAGTGGATTGATTGCAAGCCAATCGTTTCCATGCCCAAGGGCAAAGGCAAAGGATTCGGCAAGGGCTTCGGTGGATTCGGAGGCTTTGGCATGGGAGGAGGCTTTGGCGGCGGCTACGGAGGCGGCTATGGCGGAGGCTATGGCGGCGGTTGTGGTGGCTACGGTGGCGGCAAGGGCGGATTTGGTGGCGGTTGCGGTGGCTATGGCGGGGGCAAGGGCGGATTCGGTGGCGGCTGCGGTGGCTGTGGTGGCTTTGGAGGTGGTGGCTTCGGTGGAAAGGGAGGAGGCTATGGCCAGGCCGCGATCGGATACGGAGGTGGCTACGGCGGAAAGGGCTACGCACCGTACTAGACGGAGCAAGATGGAGCTGATCGCCTGAGCTGCATGGCTTATAGGCAACTGTTTCACATCCCAAAAAGGCCTCAATCTTGTGTATGAACGGAGGGGAGTCTTTAGCATGCGGCCGAAGAGGAACGAACGTGACTCGTGCCAATGCAAAACAAGTCAGCTGCTCCGTTCTACAGCCGCAGCATGCTGCACGACACTCATATGGGGAAGTGTCCCTTCAAATCGGTCCCTGCAATACGGATCATAGTAATTTGGGGTGGGAACATGAGCGAGAAATGCCCAGCCATATGAAGTGGAGGATCAGTTTCAAGAGACTGCTGACGTGATGCTTTGCTGCTATGCCCAGGCAAAGCGAGCTGAAGTAGAGGGACCTCTGCTCGAGTTCAGCCTCCGCTGGGACCTGAAGGAGTGCAGCGATTTTAGCCTCCCACAAGACCCTGGCCACCTTGTGGGCCGAAGTCTTTTTGGGATGCTTATCAGGGTTAGAGTCTAGCTTCTAGCTTCAGTAACTTGGGGGATGGTAGGATTCTCCAAGAATTGCTTTGCGCCTTCTGAGCAAAGATATAATATGCATGCACACGAAACGGGAGAAAGGTGGTCCGCACTATCAGGGTAGCTTAGAACCTAGATAATTCCCATGTAGAGCCTGCACCGTTAGAACAACGTATTGGGACCACTTTTCGCACTATGCCGTAGCTACTCGAAGGGTCAAAGTACATAAGGGCACATATTTCTCATAAATTAACGATTCCTGTTATAAGGACACCCCCAAAAATATAAATGATGTAACGAGTGCTGATATAAGGACCCCAAAGTATAGATGATGTAGCGAGTGCTATTATACGGACCCCAAAGTATAAGTCATTATCGCATACTGGATCCTCGGGACCATCAGGGCGAATTCATATTCGGTAGGATTTCTGAGCATAATTGTCCTTGCCCACCATGCCTCTTGCCGCAAGGTGCCCCAAGGATTCACCGGAAGCCTCAACAGATTCTGCCGGCTTTTTGACACTTCTTCATAAGCAGATGTTGGCCCTCTTGTAATATGTATGCCTGCATATGCATATGTATAAATATATCTGTATGTATCTACGTCTTATATACATTTTTTACAGATGCAGTCCAACCTGAAATTACCATCCTTAGTAACCGTAGCTCCGTCAAAACTTATTACCCGACAGAGTGTCCCATCATCGTAAATAATCCAGCGATTGAACATCTTGAAACTCTGCTAGATTACACGTATTACCGGATAATGGGCTCAAGGCGCCACGCAACCTGCAGAGACCTTCCAGAAACATCCAGAAACACATACTTCCCTCAGAACAGGCCTTTATCCTTGCATCAAGGCCCTTCTACATAAGTGAGCCAGTCATATGAATTTATAATACAATGTCCGTATAAGCTTTAACATAAGTCCTATACCAGCACAGTGTTGTTGCTCAAACCTCCATACATGTTGTCCGTGCTCACAGTCAAGGCCCCGGCATGGAGTTTTCCGAAGCCTTTGCCAACCTGAGGAGGTGCTTTCAGCGCTAAAGAAGGTTATCAAGGCATGTTGGTAGTTTGCGAACTTGAGGTCCCTTTTCTTGTGAGCCGTTATGATAAGGAATATTGTATTGGGTGTCGTGGAGAGTTAGTTCATCACAATTTTCAGTGACCCCTGTCCCCAAAGAGGGGTCCTTTTCTTTGCGGCAGGGTTTCCCGTTTTTAGTTTACGGACAAAAATCAGCATTTTTGCCAGCCTTGTTTAGGGACATATCCTTTAGGTAGGAACGTCGCCGCGACGAGCAGTTCACAAGTGAACAAGTTGGATAGGCTACAAAGCAAGGAAAACATTAGCTACAACCACGCAGTGCGAAACTGATGACATTTCAACGCATACAGAGTAGCGTGATAGCGGCTCATAACGGCTGTAAGATTCCTACGTGGTCTCCATCATCATCATTACCGTTATTATTGTTGTCATACTCGCTAGCAGCGTCATTCTACGGGATTTCCTTGGAAGAGGAGCAGCCTTCCGCTGCGAGTTGGGCACAGCGCGCATTGTGCGAATAGATTAGCAGGATATCACACGAGAAAACGCAGCGACAATCATGATGCCTTGAACGACACAGCCTTAACAATGATGGCCGTGAATCTTTTGAAGCCTTTGCAGTTACCTAGGCTTTCGGGTACCCAGGTACGCTGAAGATTTAGTATTGTTTGGTTCTTCATAATCCAATTGCCAGAAGAAGAGTAGATGCTCTTAGCCTAGGGAACTCAGCAGTTGTGATTTCTAGACATCTTTTCGTTTCATTTGTCGGGAACTTGCGAGGCGCTTGGAGCTGGAGCTGCGAGAGGGCCGGAAGGTCTCCGTGCGATTACGCGTGATGAGGCTGGATCCAAGATTCCAATGTCTGCATGCAAGAAGAATATATGGGTTACCGTTTAGGGTTGGGCAGCAGAGGGTTCAGGTTGAAGGGCTTAAGGTTTGGGGTATGTATTTAGGCTACAAAACATGGTTGGTAGGGTTCCATTTCCTGACGTGTACATTGCATACGAGGATCATTCAGGCCCGGCACATGCGTTCTGTAGGAATGACGATAACGGTGTTAGTCAGGTCCCGGTCAAGAGGAGATTAGACGCAGCTTGACAGGATACAGCAATGAAGTTGATTTCAGGACAACAAGATTTATGTGAAAAAGCAGCACGGGATTGATTAGGGAACGGTAGAAGGATGGTCATGTATGTATGCCATCACCCACGTTTCATGTCCGTTTTGCAGGCCTCCACCCCCGGAGCCGCCCACGCCTGCGCCGGGTGTGCCGCCGGGTGCGCCCCCGGGCGCTCCGCCTGTGGCGCCCCCTGAGACGCCGCCAGCAGCACCTCCGGGTCCGCCGGATGCCCCGCCGGATGTGCCGGAGGCGCCCGCGCTGCGCAAGGAACGTAGAATCTGCATCCTCGCGTAGGTGGAGGAGAGCAAATGCAAAGACCCATCTCTCGAAACCCTGAAATTCCTCAAGCTCAAAACGCTCAATCCCAAACCCAAAGGTTTAAATTCTACTCCGGAAGCCATGAATCTGCAATCCTGAGCCATGCGGCAGGCTATCCGACCCAGCAAGCCCAAGGACAAGCCGGTGCCAGCAGCACCTCGAGAAGGCCAGGAAGATGGCCAGCAGTTGTTGCTGATCGGACAACAAAGCAAACTGAAAGAGACACTGGGAAGAAACATATATACATAGTGGGAACAAAGGATTCTGTTGTGCTCTTTTTGGAGGTTTGGTATTTGTTGGACTGGGTGGTCGTTACCAGGTGTCATTCTCACTGCCTTGGTTGTTGCCATTTCTGCTTGCGTAGTCTTCGTAATTATTGCTGTTGTCAACGTGGTTATTATTTGTACCACGGGTACATAGCCTTCGGCTTTCGCATTCGAACTGTAGTTTGTGTTTATTCAAGAACGGTTTTTGCGAGAAGCAGCACTTGCAGGATTGATGATGGACTAGTGGAGGGATCCGATGATTGGTATTCATCTAGAAGTTGATTGTGAACCACAAAACCTTGGATAGAAATCCTTGAAGCCCAGACGCACGCTGATGATGCTGCAGGTGCTATGCCCAACTTTCCGAGCGGGTGCGGGCGCGGAGTGTTGAATGCATCTTCCAGAGCTGTTGAACGTAAATTATACATGAGAATAGAGATCACCCGCATAAGACCACCTATAGCCGGGAATTTGAGTTCAAAAGTTGTTGTGATAGTCATGCGCTGCAAGTGCAGCATGTGTTGGACCGGGCAGGCCTCGAATGCCGCAGAAGGGCTGGTGGAGGCCCGTAGTGAATGTTTTGTTTTGCTTGCCAGCAAGAGTTGCGACATGCAGTACGTAGACCTAGTGACAGTGTAGCCACCTTTGGGCAAACAGCACCAGTGGATGCAGCCACAGTATCTCGGGACATTCAGCTTGATCACCTCATTGTACTACCGTTACAACAGCACCCAAACTTTGTTCTCTTAGCTCGGCGAGCTACAGGCCTGGCTACGGAGGCTCGGCGCACGCGCTTTTTTGCGCAATCCAATGGGCAGGGGGATTTGTTCCCAGGGGGGCGAGGTGTACATCATAATCTCCTTTGCTGTGCACATGCATACCCAAGTTGTCATGACCGTTATGTGTATATATATATATACACCTATATATTCATAAGCCCAATTGCTTGCCTTGATTTCCCAGTTCTTGACTCGAAGGCTATGGCAAGGGCAATGGCTTTCGTGTGGCGGCCTTACGTGATGCCAAGCACTCCTTCACCCCGGTAGTACGCGTCACCAGCGCTCCCATTCTTAAACCCTTTCATTTGGCAGCCCAAACATGGTGGATAACATCTTTAGATTCTGGAACGCGGGCGATGCTTAAGATTGTGGAGAAGCGACGTACCACGTTGCAAGGATTCAGGATACAGTCCCCCTTAAGTAGATAGAATATGCCTTTGGGTATATTATAATGAGATCCCCATATACCCCATATTCTATCTACTTAATGGGGACTGCAAGAAGACCTTGCTGAGGCGCCAGGCTGGACCTGAAGATGGCTTCGAATCCCTGAGCCGCCGGGGAAGGGCCCACTGAGGCATAGATGACTGCGCTCCTGCGACCTCTCGAAAAGGTGGAAGACTTGAGTGTCAGTTGGGGAGAATGTAGAAGGAAGGCAAATTCCATGGTGTGTTAGTTTTGAATTTGTTTTGCTCCATGTCAAAATTGGAGCCTCTTTTTGCACACTAAAATAGTTGGGGGGATGGTATTGACGGAGCCTGGCAAGGCACTATGGTTTTGGCAACCCCCCACGTGTGAGCTGCGCAGCATGATGAAAGAGGACCCCCCGTAATGCTGTTGGTCGGAGTGAGGTTGGGCTGACACAGCTCCTGCAGAGTTTAGCCGTGCATTAACTCGTGAAACCGCCCCTGAATCACAGTTCTTGTAACCTTACATTCCTGAGTAGTTCCGATGCTGGGAGATCTGGGAGAAACGGATTCCTTGAGCCCCTAAACACGCTGACGTGGCAGGCACCACAACCCATACGGGCGAGGTTTCACATTGTAGCCTAACAAAACATTTTCCTGAAGTTTTGCTGATTTTTCTTGTCTGGCTTGGTGCTTGGAGTTTGAGTGAACCATGATATGTCGCTTTGCTTGTCCTCCTGCTCAAGCATGACACCTAGACCTAGAGTTGAGAATCAGGGTGATTGGCGGCCTTTCAAAGCACTACAGCTGCTGCAAAGATGCAGATGCGGCTTGTTTCAAGTTGGCATGAATGGGCATTATTGTGCGCGGCTGCAAGCTTTCTATGCGTCTGCACCTACCGCATTTTCTCATGGTAGAATTCATGGTGAGGGCACTGGATTTCTAGAAACGCTGCTGCTGAAGCAGATTGTCAGGGATGTTGATACAGCTTCATGCATGCGCTATGCCACTCGTACAGGGAATTCTCAAACAATGCCGGAACCCTTTTTTGTCGTTACGTCTTTTGTGTCGTTGCGCCATGCGCATTGAACCTGGACAGGCCAGCAAGTAAGTGATTACACATTTCACGCCTCGACGGCAAAAGAGAAATAAAGCAGCTTTGCAAGCAGCCTGCGCCCGTCCCAACAGCCAAAACAAACAAGCCTCCGCCCAATAGCAAAAACGACCAAACACACACACACACACAAAACAAAAAACAACGCTTACCGACTAGTGACCTAGTGACTACACAACTACAACTATGAGTATTGCGTGCTTCGGGCGTGCTAGTTTGAGCGCAAGGGTTGGATACAAGGGCTCACACGGCTAGAGCGTGTCAATAGTTGACAATGCTTTTGATGATGTTGCTGACGTAGCTTGATCCCAAGAATTCACGGGAATTTCCCGCACCGAGAGCTCTCAAGGTCTCTTCACATGGCGAACGTGTGTGGCAGAACGAAGGCCTGTAGCAGGCGGGAGACTGCACCGGTCCTCATTTCGCAAGATAACGTATGAGCACAGCTGGCAGCACATTCTGCCGGGCGAGGATCTTTAGCTTGTTTCTGACTGCCAGCCGTTTTGTTCTTCAAGGAGTGCGACTAGCTGATTTTAGCAAGCTTTGCATTCTGCCTAGCCGTGTTGGAGAGCAGATGGCAGCACTGGGGTGCGTTCACAAGTTTGCATCTGCGCGCAGACCTCAAATGAAAGCAGCTGGATTGCATTCTCAACCAACCTGAAAGACAATCAGTTTCCGGTTGCTAGATGCGCCCCACATCCCAATTGTGATCATCATGGTTCAATGTCAACAGCCAACACACTTAACATCAGGGAGGGGGGGCCTTGAAGAGATTTCTCACTTACGTAGTACCAGAAGCTAAACCAGCATGGACTGACCATGTTCATCATCGAGCCTGAGCCTGGTCATGCAATCTACAAAGGCTGGGCTTCTTCATGCCCATCAGACTTTGCCTATGCCGTCCTCCGATATTTCAGCAGGATGGCAGCCGCGTGGTGTCTGGCTTTGTGTGATCGGGATGCGATTCTCGAGAAGTCGCCGTACAAATTTGTGTTTGACTATTTTGCGAGCGTTGCAGCAGGAGTTTGCAGACCTTGGAATTGATCCGTCGCAGCGTCTCCGGAAGGTTGAAGTTTGGAATGTGGTCTGGAGCAGTCTGGCAAGCAGATGGCCACCTCGGAATCTGGTGGTGTACCATTCAACCACACGGCAATCCGCATCACGCTCGACGATGGCAGAAAGTTCATTGTTGAAAACAACGGGAACGGCTGCCTCGAAATCTTTGACCAGAATCAGATAGACATGCGGAAGTTCAAGGTTATCTCGGAGCATAAGCCCCTTCCAACTGTGACCATTGGCAAGGTCCTTGATAAGTGCGCCCCCGCTTGCAAGAACTACAACCCCATCGCAAATAATTGTTGGGACACAGCAGCTTGCATTCTCTCAACATCTTGCGGCGACAAGATTGCCAACAGATATCGACAGAGATGGCGCAAATGGATTGCTGAGGACACAGATAGTAACTGAAGGTCCAGCCTCAAGTGAAAGCTGTCCAGCCTCATCCCAAGCGCTCTGGTTGGTTATGGTTTTATCGGGGCATCTCAAATGTTGCCGGTGCTGGAGCGGCTGGCTAGGAGATTTTGACCTTAGGTCTGTTGCTGTAAAGATGCTTCATAAATCCCACTTCTTGCAAAGTGATCTGCAGGAAATGATTCTTATGTCTACGCTGTCCCCTCAGCAGTGCTGGCATGTGGACAATGGATTTGATTTGCTCCGCCATGGCAAAACATCTCCGGGGAGTGGCATGATTTTCTCAGAGGTAACGCCACGACTGTGCGAGCCCGTGAACCGTTGAATCAAGCAGCCTGACGCTTGCGTCAGCAGGCACAGAAGGGCGCATGATCGGAATTAGCACCACCACATGTAGTCCCGATCTCAGCACTGCCTGGTTTTCTTTATCGCATAGCGGTGTGCAAGCTCGTTGCAGCCGGAAAATTCTTGCAGCCAAGTCCGGGAAGCACTCAGCCCAAGGTCCAGATTAGTGTTCAACCTCGGCGGACCCTGCCACGCCGCACCAGGCCCCCACAAGCAGGATTGCTGCATCAACTATTAGTATGAAGGGGTTACTCAAGATTGTAGGGTTGGGCTGCATCAACCAACAACGGGGAAGGCAGCTGTCTAGCTGCGCTTCTTAAAACTACTGCGTCAAAAAGCATAGCTTGCATAGCCAGGTCAAGGCTCACGTGGATGGTTGATGCAAGCAAGGCTGTTCTTGTTGTAGCAGTGTCATATGAGGGAGGGTTGTTTTGGTTCCCCGCAGGCCCTTGCAGGACCTGTAGCGGAACAGCACATCCTTGATACTCACATATTTTAATGTAAGCCCATGTGCCCGGCAAGAGGTTCATACTCCTCTTTGGCAATTTCTGCAGGCATCTGAGCAGTGTGCAAACTGGCACATCTCTATCTGTTACCTGCTTGGGTGGGCGTCACCTGAAGGGGTCGCACATCAGCGCTGTGCTCGTAAAATGTTAAATCGTCCGTTGCGAGTACTATCATGATCCTGTTGGTTTGCGTCGACACTATAATATGGAAAAAACTCCAGTCACAGAATCAAAAACCATGAAGGCATCCCGCGGATTGCGTTTGCAAAAATACGTGTATGGATGAGAACAGATGAAATGTTCTGTGGCTGAGGCCTCACTACAACTCGATGAGCATCACATTGTTGTTGCCCTTCGTAATCATACCAAATGTGAGAATCATGTTGAAAGTGTTGTGATCCCGTGCCGTGTAGATCTATATTGCTCCCGCTTTGACAATCGTCATGAGCATTGCAGTTCTGATTCTCCGATCCTCGCCCTTAAGCCCAAACCTTAAACGCATCGTCTGTTGAAGCAACTCGGTCCTGAGGCATAGATGAATCATCACCAACTAGCTGCAAGTGTGGTCCTCATTCCACAATGACCGGGAAACAGTGATTCAACATTTCTCAACATGACCATTGAGCAGGCAAAACCTTACGCAATCTTGGCAGGCCCTCCATGATCCAGCTACACTTCCTGACAGAAACCCTCGTGTCGCAATGGTTGCGCTGGCAGTACTAGTGCCACATCACCTCTTTTTGCTACCGCTACCCTACCTCCTTACCTCGTTCGACGACAGGACATGTAATGACTAGCTCATGGCTAGAAGACACTTTGCAAATCTAGTTGCCAAGTGGCGCGTCCCAGACCCCAGGCGTTGCCGCAGCCAGACTTGGAACTGATCTCTGCTAGACCCACACAGCTGTTGGCAGCTGAAGCCCTGGGCAAGAAGTTGAGCCTCCTTTACGTGCGCATGGAGAGGTTGTCGAGCAGACGGTTGCACCATGCGATGGCTTGTGACGCCAGGAGGGATGAGGCGAATATACCTGTGCTCCTGCAAAATGCGCCGGGGCCCTCAGCTGCGACTTGTCAGTGCAGAGTCGCAACAACACCTTCGGGGCTCTGGAATGCGGACTTGAACATGGATGAGGTAGCCCAAGCTGTGACTATATAAGGCCTCCAACTCATTCAGGGATTAGCCCAACCCAACTTGCGTGTTCCCCAGTTGGTGCTTTCCGAAAATGGTGGAAGAGCTTTGGAAGTTGCCCACCTCTTGAGGTCATGGTGGTAAGATCCAGTGCAGCTTGCCTTGAGGTTGCAACTCAACGACCCCATTGCGCTAGAGACGTCATTGCCAGCCCCTCTGAATATCAGGTTGGTGAAAATTCCGCGGTGAGTAAGGCTCGTGCTGTCAAGATGCTTTGTGCGCAATATCCACACTGATGCCACTACCCTTTGCGCCCAGGGAGAAGAACACGGGGAGCCTTGAAGGAGCTGCAGATGAGCATCTCGGGTGTTTTACAATCATACTGAATACTGTGCAGCAAAGCTCCGAGAGGGAAGCCTCAAGACGTCGATTCAAGCTTTGCTTCAAACGGCCTTTCTTGCATGCCACGGTCATAGTCGAGTAATTCAGCCTGTGGCCACTGTTTCTTCCTCATGTTGCGAAGGCTAGCTGGTTGAGTTTCAGCTTGAAAGGTGCAGCAAAA